CCCTTGCCTTAGACGAATTTCCACCTTAAATCAAAATTCTGCACAATGGCAGTTACAAACGGTTACATGCGGCGGTTACACATGACACCTGTCCGACACATGTCAGCCCAGGGTTCAAAACTAACTTTCCAACAGCTATATTTCTAACAGATAGAATCTAATTCAAATTACATTCTTATCTACACGAAATACTAATATTCTAACAATTAGAATATTTCAGGCTTCATTCCAACACTTAGAATAACCTGCCAGCTTCCAACACTTAGAATATTTTAGCTGTCTTCCACACTTAGTTTTATTTCAGCATTTTCGGGTGAACTGCCTTTGTCTTTGACCTTGCCAAGTCTTCACAGCCTTGCTTCATCAAGTCAACATGCTGTCTTGCCAACGCCCTTAGCCCGCACGTAAGCCATGCACGTTCAAGATGCCTTTCCAACACCCAAGCACCTTTAACTTGTGTTGCACTGTTTTGCCATCATCCATGCCAAGACCAATGCCCAAGTCCTTGGCATGTCTGCACGTAGTTAGATCAAGTAGTTTGCGGGTCTAACACATTTCCAATAAAGGATGATTATGCGGGTTCGCAGTCGTTCGTTAACCAAAAATCTTCTCGGGGCACCCTGACGAGTGTAGTTGATTACTTGATAGTCAACGATCGTTAATTGTCCCAGCCCAAGTAGTCCGCTTGGGTTACCCATTCCACTTTAAATACAACCCACTCTTAGTCAAACTAAGATAGAGCGAAATTCAATCCCGGAAAGTAGCGCATTGGCCTAAGACGACCCAACACCCAAGGAGTGTTGGGCCCATTAGAAAAGACCACCTTGAGTCCAAAACGGCCTACGGCCTAAACAGACGTTCATACATGTGTGTATAAATTTGAAGGATGTATACATCCCTCGAATCGCTAGGCCCACCCTTGGCACAAAAGGGTCACATATTTGTTAGAACACGCAATATTAGTTTATGTGTTATAATTGCTTATGTGAATAACGTTGTTTTATTTGGAGGTATTTCGGCTCACTCTTCTTCAAATACTTTTAGAACCCCTAAGCACAAATAACAAGTCACTATCAAAAAGTGCGTCCAAATACTCCTCGAGTCTTTAGTTTCCAACAAAAAAAAGGGAATGTCATTTTTCTTTATTATTACTCTCATATCAGAAAAAGATTCATTATTTCAGATCAAAAGAGTTTTGAGAAATTTTATCTTTTCCAACTCTTACAAGGAAATTAGAGTTACATCTCAATCAAAAATCAAAGTACGGTAATGAAAGATACCGTCAATTTTGTATCGACTCAAGTCAACATTTTTATTCACTAATTCCAAAGTCAAGTAGACAAATTTCTGTCTATTTGACCATTTCTTTATATTGGTGAGCAAGTTTATCTCCGAGTAAAGCAACTCTTATGTGTTTACACCCATATGTGATATCTTGCATTATTTACCACCTCCAGGCACTAACATATTGGTCTTTTGAGTTTTTTCTTTTGTCAGGTATTTAAAACTGACTTGTGTTGATAAACTGGTTGATCATCCGTATTTCACAAGAAAAGATAACAATGGGGGATAACAACGATGAGATTGACATGAATGATGCCGTCGTGGCTCAACCTGCCGCCGCTGATAAAAATGAATTGATTATGCAGTTGATGCAACAAATTGCAGAAATGAGGGTCGAAATGCAAAGAATGCAAGATTCGTATAACCCAGTTTCATCCTTCAACCCTCCAAGAGATGGAAGACCTCCACTCCACTTTCCTCCCCCAAGCACGGAGCAGGTTCAGAACCTTCTCTCTAACCCTACTGAAAATCCTCCAACCATTGACTTAACTACCCCCAATCCCCGTCACGCCACCACATCGTGTCAAGCACCACATCCTCCTCAAAACACTAACCTTCAAATCCCCCATCTTCAAAACCAAAATACTAATCCTCAAACTTTCCCCCAAAATTATCAAGACACTCAAAATACTCAGAATCCCTCCATTGTTCCACCCATACCTCAGAAGACTACTTTCCAAATCTCAATTCCAAATGAACCTTGTGTCAACTGTTCCGAGCGTAATCACTATAAAGAGCAGGAGAGAGAGTGGAGGTCAAAAGAAGAGGTAATCAAGGTGAATATGAAAGAAGAGATCAGGAAAGCCATGAAGGAGTTGCACTATATTTCCGAAGTCGATGGATTGAGCTATAAGGATTTATGCATCCATCCGAATCTCGACCTCCCAGAAGG